TAAAAAGAAGTTGGAGGAAAACATAGAACAAATTCCCTGTGAGCATGTACTATGAACCCATACAACTAACCCTGGCAATAACGGCGAATTCAAAAAGCAACCCAGAATACCAATCCGTTCTGGAGGCCAATCACATACGTGGAACCAAACAATTATCAGTTATCACAATTGATTGGTCACTGGGTGGTGATCAATGTCATGCTTGTCTAGTCCTTATTAGTGCAGATCGAATGCTATCGATCATGTTGCAATGTGGCCACCAGTCTAGGTGACTCGACACTGCGGGCACTATGTATTGAGATTTAGATGGTGGTTGGAGGTAGTCAACAGGAAACCCTGGACCCGGGTTTCGTGCTACTTGGCACTCGTTAGCAAGGTGTACCTGTAATCTTGAGGGAACTGATGCTCCCTGGCGGATTCGATCTCGTGTCACCCAGCTTCACAGTCAGAGACGTTACCACTGAGCTATCCGAGCCGTGACTAACCTCCTGTCTAGTTTCTTCTACCAATAGCAAGAGGGTTGCCTAGAAGCACGAAAGTATCTACTCATTTCCGTAACTATCTACTCGATCTTCCCGATCTCCCATATTGTTCGAACATTCGATGTACCTATATTATCTGACGCTCTGGCTATTAGCATAAAGTGTACTCTCAAATTTCTGGACAGGAACTCGAAAGTCCTTCTTAATCATGTGACTTCGGCCAGAATATGGACGTTTAAACAATAAAATATCGTTACGCCAATGCGTTTCGCTGTCCATTATGCACAAGATTTCGTACCACAACTATCTCACTGGTGATTTCTTGGACAAAAGCACCGGTTCGATCAGAAATTAACACATTACGAACCTAAAACGACATTTCCGGACGTTGGAAGCGGTTAGTTCTACTTATACGAGGCGAAGGCCTCGAGCAACTCAATTCTTTTGTCGTGTCATTCATGTAGCCATATCTACAGTCTCAAACAGCTGAATCATTGGTTTATATCCCAGTTTAACAGTTGAAAATATTTATGTCTGAGTGAGATTTTAACTACTGAACCTGGAGCTCTTCTTGGGCTACTGCCGGTGCCAATCCCGGAGAAAGGTGGGCTGGTCATAGGGTTAGCAACCCCATCCCGTAGAAAACTAACTCGCTAAAAAAACGCTAACCAGAAAAAATTATTCAAACCTTTTAAACTGTGCCCTGGGAGTCAGAAGGTCTTCATTTAGAAGAACTATGACGCCTCATGATGAAAGCCGAGCTCCTTTGAAAGCCACGAGGTTGATGCTCCTTCTGACAACCAGAGCAATCATTTATTTAGGTACATGGAACGCTCGTACAATCTGGAAGACCGCGAGAGTCTTCCAAATTGCTGCAGAAATGAGAAGATACAACCTAGAGGTACTTGGGATCGGTGAAACACATTGGACACAAGTTGGACAACAACGACTAGCTTCAGGAGAACTTCTGTTATACTCCGGCCACGAAGAAGAAAATGCACCACATACATAAGGAGTTGCATTGATGCTGTCCAAACGAGCACAAAATGCGCTTATAGGATGGGAATCTCATGGACCAAGGATCATCAAAGCCTCCTTCAAAACAAAGAAAGAGGGCATTTCAATGAACATCATCCAATGCTATACGCCTACCAACGACCACAATGAAGACGCTAAAGATCAATTCTACAATAGGCTGCAGTCAATCATCGAGAAGTGCCCAACAAAGGACCTCACCATTCTGATAGGAGATTTAAATGCCAAGGTTGGAATGAACAACATTGGATATGAAGACATTATGGGACGACACGGACTGGGAGAAAGGAACGAAAATGGTGAGATTTGCAAACTTATGTGCCTTCAATAAACTAGTCATAGGCGGAACTATATTCCCACATAAACGCATTCACAAAATCACATGGACTTCACCGGATCACACCACGCAAAACCAAATCGACCATATCTGCATCAACAAAACGTTCAGGAGGACTATAGCGGACGTGAGAACCAAGAGAGGAGCTGATATAGCACCAGATCATCACTTGCTGGTCGCCAAGATGAAATTGAAACTCAAGAAGTACTGGACAACGGGGCGGACAATATCACAAAAGTTCATTACGGCTTTTCTTCGAAATACCGACAAACTCGACAAATTCAAGATAGTCCTCAGCAATAAGTTCCAGGCCTTTCATGACCTACTCATTGGAGAAGGAAGTACTACGGAGAGCAACCGGTAAGTGATAAAGGAGGTAGTCACTTCAACATGTCGTGAGGTTCTGGGTCACAAGGAATGGATCACAGTTGATACACTGGATAAGATTCAAGAAAGGAGGAACAAGAAGGCAGCAATCAATACCAGCCGAACAACGGTAGAAAAAACCAAGGCACAAGCTGAATACACAGAAGTAAACAAGCAAGTGAAGAGGAGCATCAAAACTGACAAACGTAAATATGTGGAAGATTTAGCAACGACGGCGGAAAATGCTGCAAGAGAAGGAAACATGAGACAACTGTATGACATGACAAAGAAACTCTACGGAAACAACCGTAAACCGGAGCGACCAGTGAAAAGCAAGGAAGGAAAGGTAATCACCAACATTGAAGAACAACGAAACAGGTGGGTAGAACACTTCAAAGAACTCTTGAATCGACCAGCCCCACTGAACCCACCCAATATCGAAGCAGCACACACGAACCTCCCAACCGATGTTGGCCACCAACAATTGAAGAAATCAGCATGGCCACCAGACAATCAAGAGTGGCAAAGCAGCAGGACCAAACAACATTCCAGCACAGGCACTGAAAGCAGACGTAGCGGCAACTGCAAGGATACTCCACATTCCCTTCAATAAGATTTGGGATGAGGAACAAGTACCAAAAGACTGGAAAGAAGGACCTCTGGTCAAAATACCAAAGAAAGGCGATCTCAGCAAGTGTGATAACTACAGGGGCATCACTCTTCTCTCAATACCAGGAAAGGTCTTCAACGGGGCATTGTTAAACAGAATGAAGGACTCCGTAGACACCCAACTTCGTGACCAACAGGCAGGATTCCGTAAGGATAGATCGTGTACAGACCAAATCGCAACTCTACGGATCAGTGTGGAACAATCAATTGAATGGAATTCATCGCTCTACATCAACTTCATTGACTACGAAAAGGCATTTGATAGCGTGGACAGAACAACACTATGGAAACTTCTTCGACACTACGGCGTGCCTCAGAAGATAGTCAACATCATACGGAATTCATATGATGGATTACACTGCAAAATTGTGCATGGAGGACAATTGACAGACTCGTTCGAAGTGAAGACGGGTGTCGGGCAAGGATGCTCACTCTCAACCTTCCTCTTTCTCCTGATGATCGACTGGATCATGAAGACGTCAAAATCTGGGGGTAAGGATGAGATACAGTGGACAGATAGGATACAGCCTAACTATCTAGACTTCCCAGATGATATGGCCCTTCTATCGCACATGCAACAACAAATGCAGGAGAAGACGATCAGCGTAGAAGCAGTAGTTCTCAACATACTGTTGGGGAGAGCAAACCAGATCTCAGCGGAGGAAGTGGATAGAACACACATTGAGGAAGGCATCCAACTACGTCACAAGGCAAGCCCTCACATGGAATCCTCAAGGCCAAAGGAAAAGAGGAAGACTCAAGAACACATTACGCCGAGAAATGGAAACAGATATGAAAAGAACGAACAACAATTGGATAGAACTAGAAGGGAAGGCCCATGACAGAGTGGGTTGGAGAATGCTGGTCGGCAACCTAAGCTCCATTGGGAATAAGAAGCATAAGTAAGAAATTTCAAAACTCAATATTCAAAACATTCCAATAAACTAGCACGGAGCTACTAAGTTCTTTGATATACATGAACATTCTGGTTCAGCAGGCGTTTTGTGACGATGTGAAACAGCAGAAAAATCAGTACGGTATAAACATTTTATGGAAGGATCTAACTCGAGTTCAGCTTTAAAAAGATAACAATCGACCAATACCGAACTTAGCAAGTACAAATTCATTGATCTACAACACGCTTGGAATTTATATACTTCAACACGAAAGTAATAACCAGAAAAACTGCCTGGGACCAACGAAGTGAGTCGTAATACTAATACCACACTTCGATTACACATATGTCCGATCACTATAACGTATGATCAGAGCAATATTTACATGACTATGCAAAATTATCTTATGCTAAAATCTGATTACCTAAAGGTGAGCATTTACGTATTTAGCATCCATCTCGAAATCAAACAATCTTTTCGCATTCCGTGTGCTTACTTTACCTAACTGGCTTTATTCATATTAACAATCATGCTTATGAATTTTATTGTTCAGAACTTCTATTACAATACACATTTGTAGTGAAGGAGCTTTGTTTACACTAACTGAAGTTACGAACTCACAAAACCTCGAAGGTAGTAATGAGCTACACTGTACATGTATCACAAAAAATAAACACATAAATGGACAAAAGAAGTAAGAGAATATATTACTAAACATTTGATAACAAATAAAATTGTACTCGGAAATCATTATTAGCACAGAGCTAAACAAATGCGAAGATTGAGTCTGAAATATCAGGGTATATGATAGAAGGATGTAAAATTAAACTAGAAAAGAATAAAATCCATAATGGTTAGTTGAAAACATCTTCTACATGCACAAAACACTGGGTGTAGAGGTAAGTTATACATAAAGTAATAAGATATCAAAACAATTCATTTAACTATACTAGTAAAGATTTTAAATTAATCATTGTAAAATAGAAATGAACCTGAATTTAATAAGCATACGAGTAAAATAAAACACAAACAATCTAAACGACTAAAATCTATGTACATGTAGTATTTTAAATTATCCCAAAGAGAATGAAAACACCGGATAAATAGTGTTGAAAGAAATAAAAATTGGTAAGCAAGCGTGACTAAATAAGCACAATGAAATGCAAACAAATGACTATTACGACCAAAACTGTTGACAAGTACATCCATGAATTACTAAATGTCATTTGTTCTATTTGTGGCTTTTGATTGAGTCGTACAGTGTGACGATACAATTTGGCGTAGATACGCTTTATAGATTTGTCCCATAACAGACTGAATACATTTTAGCCATAGGTCAACATTCTCGTTGGTCGATAAACATTCGAGTGTAGATGAGTCTCTACGTTCAGTTATAGCAGCTCTCTTGCCCTTCTTAACAGAAGAACGAGAACCAACATAGGGATGAATAAACGATCCCGGAGCCGATAGACCACGTGTACGACCAGGGCTATTTACTTCTGGCGAAAATGATTGTCCAGATGACTGAGATACTCTAGAGCAGGCATGGGAACTTTGTAGGCCACTACGAAGAAACCAATTTAATGCTCCACTGGAACGAATAGTGTCAGGTTTTGGTAAAGAATTGGTTGTAGGGTTTTCTGTGGGAAAAACCATTGGTCGAAAGCGATAGGTTTTGCCTAGAATGAAGTCAGTCAGCAAAAAGGAGTCTGGGTCTGAAGTACCATTTCGATGTTTACCAGGCTCTGCTTTCGCAGCCATAAATAATAAGTTGGGATTCGGAAGGTCATAAGCAGTTTTAAAATGAATATTAGTACAGATCTCGGATTTGCAGTCTGATTCTGTTAGAAGCTCCGAAACCTCAGCTACGTCTACTTCTGCCGAGTCATCAGTTGGATTCTGTAGTTTTTTAAAATTATTCCCTTTACTCTGACAATTGAAAGCACTAATTGCAGGAGGACTAAACAGACAATGGATTTGGCATTGGTGAGCCTGAAACTGAACAGTAAAAAGCCATCAGAATAAGAATTTTTGGAGAACAATGTCAATGAAGAGACTACACCAATAAAAAATATTTCTTTATACACATAAGTCTAAAACAAAACTGTGATACTTACCTGATTGCGGTAGACTGCATTTTTTACTTTTGGTTCAAAATAAATCATGTAGGCAGTGAGACCATCACCTACCATTACCAAAGTAGCCCACAGACGACGCCATTTAGAGAAACCAGATGGTCGACACGCAGAGGATGGATTGTGAAACATTTGTCTTGTAGCCGTCGATCCCGAGACAATCACTGAAGAACCGGATAGAGAAGAATTAGAAGCATGGATTGATGATGTAAACAAAGCACTATTTGAACAAACAGTGTCGAAACTTTGATTGGTATTTGTTGTTGGTGTGAAACGGTATACAGTTCGACGTTGAACAACACCTTGACATATAACTCTAACACCAAAATAGTCAGGGACTACTGATGAGTATGAAATGCACGGACTGTTGTTGACGTGTGCCTCCGTAGTTGATGAATTTTGTTTGACATTTGGTGATTCCGGTGGAGTTGATGTAGCAAGTATTGAAAAATGATGTTCAAAAGATTTATCTACAGGAAGAGTGATAGTATAAAAAAGAATATATAGATACAATTCACATCTACATCTTGGAAATCATTTGAAGTAGGGTAAAAGCATCACTCATGATGCAGATGATGATAAAATGTACAAATGCATATGCTAATAAAAACCTCAGATAGAAGTTTGTGTTGACGATGTCGTTCAAAAGAACGATGAAAGCTCCACGATCAAACCATCCAGCCCAGAGAACAAAACTCCATCAAAATTATCCACCTGAGCTACAAATCTTTTCCACGTTTGTTTTTAAATACCACTTAATTCAATGGCCTATTTACTACATTCCTTATGGACAATTATTTCTTTAAATTAAAAATAAAACATTTAATTACTATGATTTTAATTGAAATAATTAGTTCTACAATTGAAGCAAACTGGAATACATAATCAGTAATAATAAACGTAGGACCTTGAAATAAATTTGCATGCATAGCAATGGAGTTGAAATAATAACAATATTACTGATAGCAATAAAGAATGAAAATGGTGAATATGTTGTGAAGAAAAAACGAATAAAATTATTCTTGTCGGTATTATCCCACAGACTAAGTAATGCATGAATTAGGAATAGACTACTATGTAAGGATGGCAAATCAGTTGATTAGGTAGTGAATCTGCATCAACTGAGGTGGTTGGGACATTTGTTACGTAAGCTTAACTACAGCCTACCACAACGAGCGATTTTGTTTGGCGTAGAAACAGGCCGGAACAAAGCTAAGGGAGCCCAAACCCAAACACGGCATCAGTCCAGACTACCTAGATGATGTCCATGTGAATGACCGCTCAAAAACGTTTGCAATTGTGCAGGTGCATCCGTTATTTGTCTTTCCCGAAATCCTGAGATTCTAAATTTCCCATAACTTTTCTTCGTGTTTTTATTTCAATAATTTATATTTTCCCGAATCACATCTTCGATTTCTAATATAATTTATTACCACTGATGACTGTTACTACCTCTACTATTCTAGGATTTGTCAACTTGAATCAATGTACATAAGTACCAAGTTTCAAGTTGTGACTGATTGGTATCGATTTTATATTTAATTGCAAAGGGATATATTTTTCTTCACTCAATTTGTACTTTTTTAAAGTCTGAATGGGAATATATAATGAACAGAAAGTATTTGATCAAATAATCAATCAACTAAAATGCCTAAACTACATAAAATTAGAAACAACAACTAGACCTAAACATACAAACAGTAAAGATATGCGTTAACGTAATTGTGATTTTTAAAAGAAAATGAATGAACCGTTTGCGAGAAATAAGATACACATACAAAGAGAAAGCAAACTGAATGAAATTTCGAGGGACTATAAACAATAAGACGTGTATGTTCCAAATTGGACAGATGATTGAATATACAGAATCATTATAATTATTATCATTTCATATAATATAGCATTATCTTATGACAGAATCATTCCACTTGAGACCAACCGGTTTATGTTTTTGAACCCCTGAACTGTAGATATTCATATGCGTGCATGCGAACATCATGTGTGCAAACATTTTTTTAAAATTCCTTGCTTCTTTTGTAAATGCTGCCATATGATTTGTTTTGATCGATTTTGACTTTGTGACAAACAGACAGGCAGTATACAAATGAGCGAGAAATATGCTTAGAGGTTAATAATCAGATAGCTAGGTAGATGGTCAAAAGTAAGATTACCCTATTTCGACAAACAAAACAACCAATAATACAACTGCCACATGTTGTTAATGTCATGGAACAAAACAAGAATAGGAAGTTAATACTGTTCACTAATCAGTCAATAAAAAAGTGTTTACACTTATTGAACTAGACTGTTTCCTTATATTTTTGTTCAACACTTTTTTGGTATGTATATGTGTATACAAGACAAACAGGTAGTATATATACATAAGAGACTATGTCATATAAAAACGGGTTTTATAGGCCTGTATACCTGCGATCAGTTGGTCCAGACAGAGTTCGTGCAAAACCCCATAGACTGATCATTTCGGTACTCGGAGAATGCAAAACCTTACAATAAACAATAATTAAATCAGGTCATATCCTACAGGTCCAAGCAATCAGGAAAAAACTTTGAAACTAGGATTCGTATGCAGTTAACATTGGTTAGCAAATCATATCTATAACTGATGCATCCCGTATGATTCGAAACCTGCATCATCTATCAGAGATGTTGCTACGATGCTATTTGGAACACGATTGACCCCTCAAGGAACTATGATATTCACTGAGTATTATTCACTATCCAGTCGAAAATATGTGATATGGATGATGATAGAGATGAAAATAAATATCATATAGGGAGTATTATAAGATAAGTCACTCTAAATAAAATGATTAAAAAATAAATTGTCACCTGATGATGGTACGTCGTCAAATTTACCACAGCTAGGATTTATCGCCGCTACAGATGATGACGACAGTGGTGCAGTTGGTGTGGTGCATGAAGCATCTACAGCACTTAAAGAAGTTGCGCATGCGGCTACAGCAACCGCTGACGAGTTGAATACATCATTCATAGAACATAAACTGAATTCTGACAAAAGATTAGTGCTGAAATTGTTTGAAAAAAATGTTAAAGTATGAGAATAGACTTTTTTAAATGTAAAAGATTAGTTTAACAGAATGAATAAAATACAGAAAGAACTTAATAACAGGTTATTTAAAACTAAGACTTGGCAATGTTCACATGAACACGACTGCATGTTAAGTCTTTGGTGAATCTTGATAACAAATTAGTGATAACATTTGACCGCTTAAACAGGAAGTGATAATGATAACGTTGTCTTCTCAGAGGCTAGATGGTTTAACAGTGAATAATCATAATCATAATAACAATACATGCTTTGTTTAGTACCGCATGTTTGATTACAGCAAAAATATGATGCAAAGTTGCAATAAAATTTGCATTTTTATGAGCATTTAACTTGCAAATATTCAAAAGACATACATAAAATATTATATAAGCAGTGATCAATTATCATTCATATTCATATCTGTAAATGATTACGATCTGTTCTATTCATTTGACGTCTCTTTACATTGTCGAAAAGAGATTTGGTGCATAAATCCTATCGTAATAGTATATTGTTTTACTGAATTTCAGATGAGGAAAATACACAAACGAATGTGATGGTACATCTTCAGTTTTTCAATAATTAGATAGGTTGAAAACTTCTTACAAAAGCGTATAAGCATATGCTGTTAACATATATAATTAGCGAATCAAAGCAAGTCTGAAACACAAAAATTTACGGGAATAAATGTGGTCCATTAGTATAAAGAGGTTGTCATGTAGTTTTCATTGTTAGTCCGAACACCATTAGCGTCCATTTCATGAGTCAGTCAGTCAGTCAGCCACAACGTCAGTCAGTAACAACGTAGAAATTCGTACGTACATCAGTTCGAGTTGCCACATCACATTAGCACAGAGATGCAGTGGTCGATTCAAATCCCGTAGTGGTAGAGGCAATAAGAGTATAAGCAGTAATCGGGAAGATTAGGGTCTGGAGATGTTATTTAAAGAGTATAATCCAGTGAAATAAATTTGGGAAGAGAAAAAGAGAGACAAGGAGGAATAAGGAGATCAAAATTTGGGAGAACACAAAGAGTGGATGCACCTGCGCCATTGCAAACGATTTTGAGCCATGTCATTCAGGGTCTCTAACCATCGGTTGCTATCATCTCGCGGTCCCCAACCAGGTAGTCTACACCTACCGACATGACTCAGTTCACTTGTCAGTGACTTCATGGACTTGTGCCATGTTTTGCTCTGGCCGCCCCTAGCTTTCTTCCAACCTACTCCTATACCATAAAACATCGCAAGTCGAGGCAGTCGGTAGTTGGGCATACGTAACACGTGTCCCAGCCATCTCAACTGATGAAGTTTCACTACTTCATCAATTGATTTGCCATCCTTACCTAGTACCCGTTTCCTAACAACTGCGTTACTTACTCGATGGTTCCAGGATATACGAGCAATATTTCGAAGACACCTATGACCGAATACTAGTAACCCACAAATATCCTCTACTCTTACCGGCCATGTTTCACTGCCATAAAGTAGGACGAAACGAACTGCTGCGCAGTAAACAGATCCTTTGGTTGATAGACGGATATCTCGCCTACGCCATAAATAACGCAACTTGGTAAAAGCTAGTCGAGCCTTCTGTATCCGTGCTGAGATTTCGTCACACACCAGACCACAAGGGCTGATGAGACTTCCAAGATAAGTGAAGCGATCGACACGCTCAATTACTTAACTCCCTATCATTAGTTCGGGTGTCAATGCAACCCAATCCTGAAGCAATATTTTGCATTTCGAGGGGGAGAATCGCATCCCGAACGTGTTTGCATTGTTGCTTAGAGTGGTCAGAAAACGTAGGACCAGGAACATATGTGCATCGGTTCAAGTTGCCACACTTCATTAGCACAACAACATAAACACCTAATTCATAGAAGCAGTTACTTCAATGGTAGTAAAATACAAAAGAAAGATCGATTCTGAACCATGTCAACCACAGTATCCAATCATTAGTTACGATAGTCACGTGGAACCCAACCAAGTAGTCTGTATTTACCAACATGACTCAAACGAGAAGTTAGTGACTTTATGGATTGATGCCACGTTTTGGTTTGGCCGTTCCATTATATGAAAAAAACACACGTGAAGCTAGTACACAGTTACAAGTATAGCCCTGTGTTGAAAGCATATATAAATGATTACTATGTGTAGCTGAGATCATTTCATTAAAATCTCAGCATATAATTTGTAGCTCATAGAGCTTTACAGTCATTTAATAGATGACATTGAAAATGTTGAGGCAATCCCAAAAGTGACCCATTCAATGAGGAGATAAATCATTGTAGTGATGCTTTATCTGTTTATCATTTTTATTTCTCGAAAAATTCTATCCACACAATTTTGACCAATAACTAACATGAAGATATCAAAATTGAAATAGATACACTTTACATTTTATTGGATAGAATTAATAGAACGTAGACAATACCTAATCAGGTATAATTAATTATGACAACTGAACTAGGTAGAAGGAATCGGGAAGAAAGCTAGGAACGACCAAACCAAAACTTAGCACTAATCAAAAAAGTTATTAGTTGTTTTTCTGGATTCAGCTAGTTAGCATACACTACCTAGTTAAGGTCAATATAATAATTGTGATTAATGGTTGAAAAGGTTGGATAACATGGTCCGGATCCTGTTGTGATGGAGGTAATGAATTTACTCTGTTTTACTTTAGATCCTGAGCCTTGATTTTACTTTACGTTCATAGAACATAATGATTATAATAAGAAGTGTGAAAGATGACTTACACTGATGACGTAGCTGGTATATTTGATGGTGAAACATCGTTAACAGGAAGTGATCCACTAACAGAAAACGATTTGCAATAATTTGTAGACGATAACTTTGGACTGATACATTGGTCAGTTGTTACGAGTGATTGACTGAGATTTAGTTGTTCAGATTTTAATTCCGATCGACTAAGAGTAGAATGTTTTGTTTGTTCACAATCAATAAATGGTCTTGGTGGAATTGGAGGCAACTGTGAACTTTTATGTTCAGGAAAAAGAAACTCCAATTCTTGAGTACTAGACTGGGGCTCTGAAGTGCATAGGAAATCGGAATCTGTCACCTAATAGGACAAAATACATAGTGAAGTTACACTAATAGACAATGAGAAAATTCGGATTTATAAAAACCTAATAAGTGAACAATCAATTTTCAAGCGGAATTCCATGTAAGTTGACCTTTAACAATTGAGGTGATTTCGATACATATTACACACTTCCGGCATCAATTTATTTTTATACAGCACATATAATGAATAGACATTATTGCAAATAAATGGAAAACAGATTCGGATCTAAACATAAACAAAGCAAAAGGAAATTTTATCCTGCTATTCAGCGAAAAACTCCGAAAGAACAGTTAGCAGTGAGGAGTATAATAACATGGAAGGAGTTGTGAAACACCAGTGAGTCATGATCAAACACAATTACCATTAGTTAGTTTGGTGACATCACACCGCCTGTAGCTATTCTAGGGTTACTAACGGTCCCAAGCCCACACAAAGGAGGAGGGTTTAGTATGAAGTTAGGAACAATGTGGGAAACCGGGAAGACCAGTCAAATATCAATGGAAATGAGGAGATACAACTTGGCTGTACTGGGAATCAGCGAAACCCACTGGACCCAAGCTGGACAGAAAAGGCTAGCTACGGGAGAGATGCTGCTATACTCCGGTCACGAAGAGGACAATGCTCCACACACTCAGGGAGTCGCTCTTATGCTGTCCAAAGTAGCACGAAATGCACTTGTAGGATGGGAATCTCACGGATCCAGAATCATCAAAGCATCATTCAAAACAAAGAAGGAGGGGATCTTAATGAATATTATCCAATGTTATGCACCCACCAATGATAGCAACGACGACATTAAAGATCAGTTCTACGAGCGGCTGCAGTCAGTGATAGAGAAATGCCCAAGAAAGGACCTCACCATTCTAATGGGAGATCTAAATGCCAAAGTCGGAATAGACAACACTGGATATGAAGATATTATGGGACGACATGGACTGGGAGAAAGAAACGAAAATGGAGAAAGATTTGCAAATCTATGTGCATTCAACAAATTGGTCATAGGAGGCACAATATTTCCACACAAGCGTATACACAAGGCTACATGGATCTCACCGGACCACACTACAGAGAACCAAATAGATCATATTTGCATCAACAAAAAATTCCGAAGGACAATGGAAGATGTGAGAACCAGGAGAGGTGCTGACGTAGCTTCAGATCACCACCTAGTTGTAGCCAATTTGAAACTGAAGCTAAAAAAGAACTGGACAGGTGGACAAACAGCAATACAAAGGTTCAATACAGCCTTCCTTCGAGATACTGTCAAACTCAATGAATTCAAGATAGCTCTCAACAACAGGTTCCAAGCCTTACGAGATCTATTGAAAGAAGAAGAAATTACTATGGAGGACAACTGGAAAGGCATCAAGGAAGCATTAACTTCAACGTGTCAAGAGGTTCTCGGTCTAAAGAAATACCATCATAAGGAATGGATCTCTACAGAAACAGTGGACAAGATCAAAGAAAGGAAGAACAAGAAGGCAGCAATAAACAACAGCCGAACACGAGCAGAGAAAGTCCAAGCACAAGCTGAATACATAGAAGCAAACAAACAAGTGAAGAGGAGCATTAGAGCCGACAAGAAGAAATACGTGGAAGAACTAGCAACGACGGCAGAAAAAGCTGCTAGAGAAGGAAATATGAAACAGCTTTACGATACAACGAAGAAACTATCAGGGAAATACAGTAAACCAGAGAGGCCGGTCAAAGACAAAGAAGGCAAGCCAATCACCGAAATTCAACAACAGCGTAACAGATGGGTAGAATACTTCGAGGAACTCCTGAATAGGCCGGCTCCAATGAATCCACCGGACATCGAAGCAGCACATACAGATCTTCCTATAGATGTCGATCCACCAACTACGGAAGAAATTAGAATGGCCGTCAGACAAATCAAGAACGGGAAAGCAGCAGGACCCGACAACATACCAGCTGAAGCACTGAAACCAGACATCGAAACAACCACAAGCATGCTTTATCTTCTATTCAAAAAGATTTGGGAGGAGGAACAAGTGCCAATGGACTGGAAAGAAGGACACCTCGTCAAGATTCCAAAGAAAGGAGATCTGAGCAAATGTGAAAACTACAGAGGCATAACACTACTGTCAATACCAGGGAAAGTCTTCAACAGATTGTTGCTGAACCGGATGAAGGATGCAGTAGACGCCCAACTTCGAGATCAACAAGCTGGATTCCGTAAGGATCGGTCGTGCACAGACCAAATTGCAACACTACGGATCATCGTCGAACAATCAGTTGAGTGGAACTCATCACTATACATCAACTTCATTGATTATGAAAAGGCGTTCGACGTTCGACAGTGTGGATAGGAGGACGCTAAAGAAACTTCGACATTACGGAGTTCCTGAGAAGATTGTCAATATTATCCGGAACTCATACGACGGACTACAGTGCAAAGTAGTGCATGGTGGACAGCTGACAGATGCATTCCAAGTAAGGACTGGAGTCAGACAAGGCTGTTTACTCTCTCCCTTTCTCTTTCTTCTAGTGGTCGACTGGATTATGAAGACCTCAACATCTGAAGGAAAACACGGAATACAATGGACAGCTCAGAATCAATTAGACGATTTGGACTTCGCAGATGACCTAGCCCTCCTATCACATACACACGAACAGATGCAGATGAAGACAGCCAATGTAGCAGCAGTCTCTGCATCAGTAGGCCTCAGCATACACAAAGGGAAAACTAAGGTCCTCAAATTCAAAGCGGAAAACAGCAATCCAGTCACTCTTGATGGCGAAACCCTGGAAGATGTAGAATCCTTCACATACCTGGGAAGCATCATCGATGAACAAGGAGGCTCAGATGCAGACGTAAAGGCGAGGATCGGCAAAGCAAGGGTCGCATTCCTACAATTGAAGAACATATGGAACTCAAAACAACTTTCAACCAATATCAAAGTGAGAATCTTCAATACGAACGTCAAGGCAGTTCTACTGTATGGAGCTGAAACTTGGAGAACTACAACAACCACAATCAAGAAAGTACAAGTATTTATAAATAGCTGTCTACGCAAGATACTCAACATCCATTGGCCGGATACCATCAGCAACAGCCTTCTGTGGGAGAGAACAAACCAACTTCCAGCTGAAGAAGAAATTAGGAAAAGACGATGGAAATGGATAGGACATACATTACGCAAATCGTCAAACTGCATCACGAGGCAAGCCCTAACTTGGAATCCTGAAGGGAAGCGAAAAAGAGGAAGGCCAAAGAACACATTGCGTCGGATAATAGAAGCAGATATGAAAACGATGAATTACAACTGGACGGAGCTAGAAAGGATTGCCCAGGACAGGGTTGGATGGAGAACGCTGGTGAGCGGCCTATGCTCCTTCACGAGGAGTAACAGGCGTAAGTAAGTAAGTAAGTAAGCAATCGATCATAGAGAAGTCCCCAGAAAACGACCTGACCATCCTGATGGGAGACATAAACGTCGAATTCAGAATGGACAACACCGGATATCAAGATATCATGGAACGACATGGACTAACTGGAATGCGAGGATGTGAAATAGTGAAAGATTTTCAAATTCATGTGCATTCAACAAAATTCCTAGTTCATGTAGGAAGTAATTTCCTGAAGATGCACTTCTAAAATATTTCCTAGACTGTCGAGTACAGTGTTAGCTTAGCCATTGTCAAGCAAGTAAGCTATGGCTCTGACAGACAAGTTCGTACGGCAACCGAAGAAGTCGTTCAGGATGTGTGAAGCTAATGCTTACTTGAAGAAGCCGAAAAAAGCTTGGACCAGATTGCCAGGTGAAACGTTGGATTTACTTCAAATTCATTCGCTGAGATTTTACAAATACATTTTTCCTCTTTAAAACGATATTCGGTTAGCTGACTAATTTTTCCTATCCTCTAGTTACTGTTCAGCATGTTAGTTACGTCTCTTTTTCCCTGTCTAATAGACTGCAATAATTGTTTAACTTGAATACTAACAGTGCTGATTTATGTTTTAGAAACATATAGTTTGACAAGCCAAATAACTTATCTGTTTTGACTTTGGTTAAGCTAAGACTTTGTGCTCAACGATGTAGGGGATAGTTTAAAATAACATCTATAAGAAATTACTTCCTACAGCTAGAAGGGGCTAGGTTCTGTATATGTACAATACAACTATTAACAACAAGTTCTACATTCGACCTTTTATAGTCAGAAGGAAGGAATGAAAAATGATGTGCAAGGAAGCAAAGGAGAATATAAAGAAAGTTAAATTACCATTCAGCTGAATGCTGTCACTGAATGTGAGAAGTAGGTAGTTTAAGTTTCGTGAGGATTCATTGGCTAACCGTATTGTGTCGTTCAGCATCATTAATCGATCAGTACTGTACTCACCAGTTCATAAACAAACAAAAGCGCACATCATAAATAAGAACCTGCTAATTAATACTAGATAACCTAAAAGGCACATCTGCAACACAGTAATCAAAATTTCAGTAGATATTTTTCTAGTTCAGCAGCGGGTTGACCTTAAAAACCAGTAATATAAACGTTTACATACGAATAAAAGTGATCAGATCACACTGAAATGGTATCAGTTTGGCTAAAAACCTACTACTGTATCAAAAGTGAACGAATGTAGTATAAGTATGTCATTCATCATACTATTAATATTTATGGATGAATGAATGGATTTTCTCAATTATTTGAAGTATGATGTCCTAAAGAAACGTACACATATAGCATACTAAACCTAACGCTCAAACTGATTCTTTAGAATCTTTAGATAAACGAACCCACCAATGATAACATGAAACACCCACCACTACAGCATTAACTTTCTTTGACCTTGTATGACTATGCATTGTCTATTCACCAACAATGCAGAGACAAAGAGAAGTAGTATGTAACGTTTACGATCTATGAATACGAAGAACGATCTACCATCAATAATAAGTTCGTCAGTGAAGGTGGATAATGGCTAGCAGTGGAATCCAGGACGCGTGTTTCCTTTTATCTAAGACTCATCGGTTGGATGTACCTGCGGCATTACTGTTGTTTACGAAATTGAGAGGAGGAAAAGCGAATGTCCGGCGCTTTAACCGGGTTGGTGGATATGGAGGATTCACCTAGGGGTGAGGTCAAAATAATCTTAAGATAACCATAAAGGGAATAGTTTAATTAATATAGTGTCTAAAATACTAACCTCAATAATATGTGTCTGGTCATGCGGTGTAGCTGACTGAATTATTTACTGGCAAAACATTCAGATGGTGAGACTATACTGGTGATACTTATTATTTTAGTCCCATTAATCTCACTATGGGATTTTAGGAAGTATAATGACAATTCCAATTCTATAAATATAGACGTAAACGTATTCTGATAGAAGGGAGACCAATTACGAAAATAATAACTAAGAGTTAAAGAAACACACTCTTGACTGTGAGATCAAGTCTAATTTAAACTGTTGCTACACGACAACAAAAACACAAAGAATTTTAAATCTACAGGTAAGTTAAAATGAACTCATATTGAGATTATCAACATGCAGATGTTAATTCTAAAAAAGTGTATAATTTAACAGAGACTTAGACCTACATTGAAGGAATTTTTAGTTTTAGGTCTAGGTAATGTGGAGAATTCTTTCCGTAGATGTTGTGATTGAGATGTCTCGTCCTTCGTAATGCCTTCAGTTTGTTCCCAAGATACTTTACGCATAGATTTGAGTTGATCGGTTTTGCACTCCAATAATTTGTTTGAATTAGAGACTTGTATGGGATTGTTTATATGGTCATTTGAATGTGTAATGTGTTTCGTCATCAGTGTAGGTAATAGATCTGCTTCGAAACTAGAATTAACTGTTGCACCTTTACATGAGACATTAGACCCATGACGACTATGATTTTGATAATGATGAGAATTTTTTGTATTATGAACGAAACTTGACAGCTTTGACGGTGATCGGAATCCAAATCCACTATTCCGACCGTCAAATGTTAACCCAGTATTGTTTGAATGACATGCGTTTGTTGATGAACTATTTTGGTTCTTTAAAATATTACTACTGTCTAGATTGCTATTATTGGAACTAGAGATGGTTGAGGAAGTTGTTCCGTATATTTTCTGAGGTAAATATGACAAGGATGGTGTGGGTAACGTAGGAGGAGGTTCTAAAATAAGTGAAGTTTTATAATTATCTTCTTCTAGAAACTTCTGTAACTCTTCTATGTAGCGTTGAGCACATAGATATGCATTGAGAGTTTCATCCACAGCAAAGGCTTAGTAATTTGAATAAGAAAGAATGCATTAAATCTCTGAAAAATTCCAAATCAAAATTTTTAAATGCAAATAGAATGGTAAAAAATCAAGTCTCTTGTGTGGTAACCTGCCCCAAATGCCCTGGTACGGCCCAGAGTGTAGAGAGTCCGCTCTCCCTCTCGAAATTCTCTCACATGGCCACGCATAAATAGCCTCTGACAGGGAAGTCCTACTCACTGCCTTCTCGCGCCATTACTGTTGTTTATGAAAGTAAGAGGACGAAAAGCAAATGTCCGCCGATTTAAACGGGTTGATGGATATGGTGAGTCCACCTAAGGGAGTTGGAAAACCCTGATTCCAGACCAATGGTGAACATTGGCTCCAGTATCCTGAGTGAACAAATGGGGGATGGACCAATTATTGGTCACCGGCTATCATGAGACTGCATTTCCTTACGATGCTCCACTGCCTTGTGGATCAGACCTTCAGGTTGAGGGCTCCGGGTGCGGTCCACTAAGAAAACCACCTGGTTCGGTCTGGACACTCGGGCTGTATCACAGCAATCACACAAATCTAATGAGATGACAATTATTTCACGAAATACAACGCTTCTTGATTAATGACGATTAGACTAATTGGAAGGCATTGGAGTCAACGTAAACGAGAGGATTTTTTTTCAAATAGCTGTGAAAATGTAACATATTAAACATAGTTGACATGTGCGGTTTATTGGACAGTATTTTAAGATAACTCGACAAGTAAAGTATGATACGGAAAATAACAATTAACTATTTGATTACTGAGTGTCTAAATAGTAAAATGCAAAAATAAAACGTCAGTTAATGATGATTTGTTATACAATTTTTAGTCTTAGCATATAAACTGAGGAATCCCAACCAATAAGTATATTACAAAATCAACTCACAGTATTCAGATTGTTGAAAATATGCTATTTTATCAATAATCGAGTTGATTTTTGTGAACCATACGGCAGTTGGTTTTCCATTTATACGCGGTTGAGCCACATTTGTATACGTTAAATCAGACAAATATAAACCTAAAAAATATGATTAAAAAAGACACTCTAATAAGTGGTAGCTAGCAAAGCACGTAGGATCTAATTCTTACAAAATTCAGTCATGATGGCAAAAGATAAAAAACGAGCGGAAACCAGTAATAAAAATGTTAAAACAAGCAAATTAGTTTCCAAAAGTCTAATTAATAATGCAGCACACTTAGTAAATTACATCACTTGGTACTTAACCTTAAAGTACACTGTGGAGCCCCCAAATGCCCTGGTATGGCTGAGAGTGGGGTGGGCCCGCCCTCCCTCTCGAAATGCTCTCACACGGTCACGCATATACAGCCTCTGACAAGGGAAGTCCTACTCACTGCCTTCTCGTGACGGGGGTGTTGTTTACGAAAATGAGAGGACGAAAAGCGAGTGTCCGGCGCTTTAACCGGATTCCAAACCAATGATGCACATGGGCTCCAGTATCCTGAGGGAACAAATGGCGTATGAACCAATAGTTGGTCACTGGCTACCATGGGATTGCATCTCCTCACGATGCCCCACTGCCTTGTGGATTAGACCTTTAGGTCAAAGGCTCGGGGTGTGGCCCCCTGAGAAAACCACCTGCTTCTGTTTGGGCACCAGGGCAGTATCACAGTCCTCGCACATATCGAATAAGATTTGTGTGGCGCATATGTATTTGGTGCCTTCTTGTACCAATATCTATGTGTTAAAATAAATAAAAATAAATGAACCGAAGATGGATTTGGTAGATTAAGAATTAGGAGAAAGTAAACCGAACCGTATTTTCCTGACGACAGGTTAATTGCAAGTATTAATTTTATGATAAAAATGGTACCTATCGAAAAATACATGAATCCTGGTATTTAAGTTATGTGAAAGCATTTATATTGTGACAGTATAAATGATGTCTTGCAAAGACAAGAAACAAATGACACGAAGCATATGAGAAAAAAGCTATGAAAGCCAAGTTACTAAACTATAAATAGTAACTCGCGCAGTGCGCCATACGGGACACGATGAAACTCACTACTGTGAGAAGGCTCAAAATAGCACCTGGCAGTCTAGGGTTTAGTAAAATACAATACTTCATAACCTGGAAAAAGGGATGTGTAAAATGATGAGCTAAAGCTTCCGATTGTGCAATCAAGATCATCTGACAAGCATTACCTAGGTAAGGGATACCAGGAAGACTGATAGAATTCATATGTTCGCGCTGTCTGCGACAATTATCATTCTGACTGAAAAGCTCCTCCAGACGCCTGTACGCTGCCCGATCTTTGTTTCCGAGACCAGCCCATGTGTGCCTCAAACGATAAATGCATTCCACTTGTAGAGCAGATATTATTGACATGGCAGAATACAGATTATTAAATTCCACAAGTTTCTGGAGTAAACAAAAACAGAAATTCATAGGCTGTTTGAAAACATACTGTGTTCAGTTAAATAGAAATAATATATCTAAAACAATGTCTCGTTGGTAACTTTAAGTAACATGAAAAGACGAAGTTTGACGGACTATGTGATATAATAATGCAATACATTTCAAAAAAAACACAAACCTACTTTGGAAATTTTGATAAAAAATGACAACATCTCAGTTCTCTTTGAAACGCATGAGTATTTTAAGATTTCTTTTTGAACCCAGAAATTAATCTGAAAACGTTTAGGCACAAACATAAATTACTTGATTAAACCATCTGGTTGAGGCAACGATATTCGGAGCGCACAAGTGTTTTTCCCTGCCATTCCATTTTAAACTTGCAAACTCCTATAGAACACCTTAAAAAGTTCTCTCTACGGCTTACCTCTCTATGTATGGCTTTAAAGTACGAAAGTTCTATCAAGGTGATTTGTTTCTGTGGGGTTATTTATATGCCACACTTACTGCAAACTCTTCGGAGCTGACTTTCGTAATATCAGCAAAAGCTACATCTTCAGCTAGAGAAGAGACTGGAGTCTGGTCCGATGTCAGAGGCTGGTAGCATCCTGTTGACTTTACATACTCCATCAAAATCAATAACTAGCTCTGTATAAATCCTCAGGCAAATAAAAGTTTCCAATTTGTGATTTTTCCCCTTATTATAAACCCAGTTGGTCTTAGCCTGTCATTCCAAACTCAGAAAATCGCGCCGAAGAAAAAAGACGAAAATAGCGCTTCGGTTGTAATTTTAAACAACTAAAAGCCTAAACATCAAATGGGAACATAAGAATCACATTTAAGTTTCGCTAGCAGTTACATTATTAAAATAACGTTACTTGTAACTTGAATTTTGAGCGGCAATTTAAGTCAAATAGCAATGCCTGACTTAAAATGTCCATTCCTGTGAATCACTTAGGAGCGACTAATATTGTGTTGGTAAGTAGTAATTATTTCCTCCTCAATACCACGGATTGTAATTTGCACACCATGCCCAGTATATGCTGCTTATCACTAGGGACGTGTTGGTCATAAATTGGTGATTTTCTAGTATTTATAGCAGTTATCAGGGATTTTGCACTTTCACGAAATTACCTGGTTCTTTGAGCTGTCTTCGCACTCCTCACTTGTGCTAGTCTCTCATAATTTGTAGTCTTTTTAGAGCAAAATCTTAAGTGTTAGACGTATTTTGGGTGATAACAAGTAAAGTTTGAGTTGAAGTTTAAACGTAGGCGGAAACCGCAAACTCAGTTGTTTTTACTGTACTCAGTACACTGGCGTTCAAGCAACGCTCTCACAAGCTATGGTAGTTGAATTTTTCCCCCTCGATTAGCACTGATCGTACGAAAATGTTGTTAAGCGAGTGCATTTGCAGATATGGAAGATTTGACCAAGTATAATGTCGATTTCGAGTTAAGTAAACTAAGATGCTGTCTAAAATCTCCGTCAACCGGCAATTCACATCTGATGTAACTGAAGTTACTCTAATAAAACCAGCTTAATGCTGTATAACTGTTTGATTTGGTTGCTTGACTCCATGTTCCAAAGGAAAACCTATTATAATACTTGAAACGTTTTGTTGTACTTATTGTGGTTGCTTTACGCATTCTATAGTTTCAAGCCTGGCACCTAGGATCCCTTGAATAATGGAGTGCTTTTTTGAGGTCGAAATTTTAAAATCATGTTTCGTCAGAAGTCATCGTAATTATAGTTGTTGACTATTATTGAAAGAAAACTCCCCTGTTACCAGTTTCCAATTCTAACTTTCTTGCTTTGCTTCTCCAAATACCTCATCTATCTTTCAAGAGCCCCAACAAGTGCATTCAAAGTCATTCATAACGCACGATAATGCAGATGTCGATTGGCACAGGTAGTAATACTTCAGCAACAAAATGATAAATATTAACAAACTAAAAGTCTAATTATCTACAACATACTAGTGATATCCGCTTTATCTTCACTGGATCGTCACGACAAACTGATGAAACCGTCCGACCAAGACAACATTTGTGGTCGTAATTGTTTCCATAGCTTTTTATCCCCGGACTTAACGTAATGGCATTTTCGTATTCACATGACAAGTTACTATCCGCTTCGTGTTTCCTCAGCAGCTCAGATAGGATGAGACCGAAAAAGCTCAATGCGCAAAAATCCTCCACTATCCGTTCATAAAGTTACTGATTAATGATCCGCCTCGTAGGCAGACTCTAACTACAGCAAAATGCTATCAGTTTTTTCGCGTTATAAACATAGAGTGATGAATTTCGGTCATTGTTCTTTTTTTCATTACGGATAGTTAATGGATATTAATAAAACTCTAATAAACGATTTCCAAACTAATTTAAATGGTGATTCGGACATAATTAGCATAGAGCTTGACATTATTGTGGATAAGTTGGACAGTTTGTTGATATCTTCATTCAGAGCCTTCATATATAACGGTTTATACAAGATCGCATCAGAGAAAAGTGTTGAGTCTAAAATCGTACTCATGACTAAAATTAATATGGGTGACAAAGATTAGCAAAACGAACGGTTTATTCTAGATTTATCTAGTTCATAACATAGTCAGTCAGTCAGTCAGCTACAACGTAGGACCAGGCACATATGTGCATCTGTCCAGGTTGCCATACCGCATCAGCACAACAAGATGAACATCGGATTCATAGCAGTGGTTAGGTCAAAAGTAGTAATATATAGGAGGAAAATTGCATATAGAGATATAGTACAAGAAGAAAGAATTGGTTCGTAGAAAGAAAGGTATGAAGCGATTTTAATCTCTTAGTTTAAGGGAAGACAGGGAGTGTATACACCGACGCCATTGTGATCGATTCTGAGCCATGTCACTAAGAGTCTCCAACCATTGGTTACGATAGTCACGCGGACCCCAACCAAGTAGTCTGCATCTACCAACATGGCTTAGACTAGGAGTTAGTGACTTCAGGCACTAATGCCACGTTTTGGTTTGGTCGCCCCTAACTTTCTTCCAACCATCTCCAATACCGGATAGCATTGCACGTCGTGGTAGTCGGTGTTCAGGCATACGTAACACGTGGCCGTACCATCTCAGTCGATGAATATTCATAACCTCATCAACTGATTTACCATCATTCCCTAATACCCTGCGTCTAACCTCACTATTACTTACCCGGTGATCCCAACAGACGCCAGCAATATTTCTAGGACATGTGTGGTCAAATACTAGTAGCTTACGAGTGTCTTCTACTCTTAAAGGCCATGTTTCGCTGCGTAAATTAAAACAGGACGGACTGCCGCGCAGTATATTCGTTTTTTAATTGATAGACGGATATCTCGCCTTCGCCATAGGTGACGTAAGTTGGCAAAAGCCAAACGAGCTTTTCGAATCCGTGCTGAGATTTCGTCAGACACCAACCCATTAGGGCTGATCAGACTTCCAAGATAAGTGAAGTTGTCGACTCGTTCGATCACTTCACTCCCTATCCTTAGTTCAGGTGTTGACGCAGACCAGTCCTGAAGCAACAACTTGCATTTAGAGGGAGAGAAGCGCATTCCAAACATTCTGGCATTGTTGCTTAGTGCTACCAAAAGACTGCATTTTATCAGCGTCTTCACCAAACAGGACTATGTCATCTGCGTATTCTAAGATGATAAGTGGACCTCCTGGAAGGAGATCAATACCCGAGAATTCAGTCGACCAGAATGTTATTGCCATCAGTAGATCTATGATGAAGTTAAACAAAAATGGAGAAAGTGGACATCCTTGACGGACACCACTTGAGGTTGCAAAAGTAGATGACAGTTCGCCATAAGCTCTGACTCGACTGGTAGTGTTCGAGTAAAGAGCCTTTATAAGGTTTATGTACTTCTGAGGTACGCCTTTCAATGACAGACACTGCCACAGAATCTCGCGATCTACAGAGTCAAATGCTGCTTTTAAGTCAAGAAAGACCACCATTGTCGGACGTCAATAAGTTTGCCTGTGTTCTAGAACCTGACGAGTGGTGAATATGTGGTCGATGCAGCCACGACCAGGTCTGAAGCCAGCTTGGTTCTCTCGTGTTTGCTGTTCACGAGTCTTAGTTAGGCGTCTGATAATTGTCGAGGCTAGTATTTTAGATACTATATTAGTTAAACTAATCCCTCTGTGGTTGTCACAGGATGATTTTGACCCTTTCTTATATATTGGGACGATAAGTGATTGTGACCAGTCAGATGGGATAAAGTCTAATTCCCAGATCTTAGCTAAAATATTAGTCAACCTAATCGCTGAAATTGGACCACCATCCTTAAAGACTTCTGGAGCCAGTCCATCTGGACCAGCTGCCCTTCCTCGTTTCAGATTAACTATAGCCTTTTGAACTTCAGCAAAAGTTGGGAGACCTACTTCAATGTTCCATTCACGCTGTCTGGGAATGGAGGGTAGTTGTAGAGTCGCTGAAGGCCAGTTGAACTGTTCTCTGAAATGTTCCGCCCATCGTTCTAAACGTCTGGACTGGGAGTAGATGAGAGTATCGTCTTTTCCCGAAATAATCTCACTTACGCTTGACTTATTAATTCTAGTTTCTTTTATCAGTCTATTAAGCTGTCTTGTGTTCCCTATAGTTGCCGCTTTTTCCATCTCTTTTGCTCTCATTGCCCACCACTGCTCACGGTCGTTTCTTAGACTTTTTCTTAACCTAGATCTGATTTGTTGTCGCTCTTCATCATGTTCGGAACCTGATGGGACGAGTTTGCGAGAATCCATCAGTGTGATAGACTTTGAGGAAATCCAATGGTTCTTTGTAACTATGTGGTTTAAGTCGCTAATAGATGTCACTGCTGTTTCCACAGCTGCTTGTATGTCTTTCCAAGCAACATCTGGGTCAGCCTCGTTTTCAGAACTACCTAAGTGTGAACTCAGTTGTTCTTGGAACCTATTTTGGTTTTCTCGTTACTCAACTCAGTTCTAACGGGTCTTTTTAATGTGGCTTTTTTGCGTCCAGTGAGGCGCAAGCAGATGCGTGCCCGTATTAGGGCATGGTCGGAGTCCAAGCAGGTACTCCAGAATGAGCGACAATCTTCTACCGACCCTCTCCAACGATGACTGATGACAATATGGTCTATTTGAGTCCATCGTTGGTTTGGTGTAGGGGGTCGCCATGTTAGACGATGTCTCTCTTTATGCTTAAAATTTGTGTTTGCTAAAAATAAACGATTGTCTGAGCATAGTTGCAGCAGACGATCACCATTATCTGTTCGCTGTGTCGGAATACTAAAATATCCACCTAAATGCCTTTCTGTTTGGTTTAAACTACCTATCTAAGCATTAAAGTCGCCTGCTACGAGTACTATGTCTGAGCGTTTAGCTTTCTGAAGAAGTTCGGACAGCTTTCTGTAAAATTCATCTTTCACATCATCTGAGCTGCAGTCAGTGGGAGCGTAGGCAGAAACGACAAAAAGGCATCGACGTGTGTCTCTATCCTTCCGAGTTCTTACGGAGCCGTTTAGCCGAACAGCACATAGACGACTGTTGACGGGGATCCACTCTAACAGTGCTTGTTCCGCCCTCATGCTTAGTGCTATGCCTACACCTGCCAGTCCACGAGAACTGGCCATCGGGTCACCAGATACAAGGAGGGTGTATCTCGTTGGCTCTCCGTTTTGCCGAGGTGAGGTCAAGTGAATGACCACACTGAAATCCTGTATGTGTGTTTCGGAGACACAGCATACATCAATGGAAAGAGACTCTAGGGTTTTAGCCAAGGAAGCCTGCTGACCGATTTGACATAGGGTGCGTACATTGAAGGCTCCAATGTGTAGTGTGGAGCGAGGTTTCAGTAGACCTGGGACAGTGTTTTGAGCACTATGATCGTTGGCTATGGTGACACTTGAGGAGGAAGCCGAAAGAGGAAGTTTAGAGTTGAAAGTCGATGTAGGAGGAATAATAGGAATTGAAGAGGAAGGTTGATTATGAATACAGTGATCTTGGGTGCTGTTAGAGGTATGAGGGCGGTTATCACTTCCCGGTTGCCCACACCGTGGAATGGTTCTTCTGGAGGTACCTGAAAAGGGAGTCGGATTAGAAGTGGTCTTAGTGACCTGAGAGCGTGACCGCAGTGCCCAAGGGACATCTGCTTGAGGCCGGTCGCGCACGGCCTTTTCGTGGGAGGTTTTCTACGTGTTAGCTCCGTTCTTCAAAAGGGCCTTACCGCCGGAGACGGATATCCGTGAGGTAAGGTGAGGTGTACATTTTTAGGGTCGACCTTTTCTAACTCCACCCCTCCATGTGGGAAGGCAGCATCGCTGTCATGCTGGTTGTCTGAAGGAAACACCTCACTGCTGTCACACCTCTGTACAGTCAGCAGTACGACTTCGCCTTCGGACCTTGGGTTTGTTGCTTTTAGTCTTACCGCTCTTCAACCGACCTGTCTGACATGGTAGGACCTTGAGGAACGGTTGTTCCGGCCAGTATAGCTCGGTTGCTTCATCACGATAGGCAAGCCCGACCACCACGTCAAGGTAGCAACAACGGTCATAACATAGCACGCTGTTAATTCTATTTCTACTACAGAGATTAGGTCACACAGCCTTCAGTCATTTCTGTACCCGCAAAATTATTCGCCCAGTAGAGTCAAGCTATGTAAATATTGGTAAGTGTAAGGTGTAGTTTAAGTTGATTCAATTTTGTGTGCCTAATTTCTATGAATTTACTGTACGCAAAGTACATTTGTGTATGATCGTAAATGTCAAGAGGCAGGAAACAATATTTGTTAAACTAATTTCCATGCAGTTATCAAAGTAGAATATCTGATTTTTTTTCCTTATTTGTTTGAAAATTGGGTTAGTTGAACCCGAATTCCCTCAGTATCCTGTAGACCATGTGCACTATTGGTTTGGAGTCAGGGTTTTCCAATTCCCCTAGGTGGATCCTCCATATCCGCCAACCCGGTTAAAGCGCCGGACATTCGCTTTCCGTCCTCTCAATTTCGTAAACATCTGTAATGCCGCGAGAAGGCAATAAGTAGGAGTTCCCTAGGAGTGGTTGTATGCACGTGGCTATGTGAGAGCATTTCGAGGCTTTCTGAAAACAAATTCAACTCTCGAATTTCAAGTAACTGCAATCTGTTTAATCATTATGCCTAGAGACTTCTGGACCTAATTAGTCAATCCAACTACTCTCTTTTACCATCATTAACGCTGCTACTATCCGAACTCCTTTACCATTCAACTTACTAGTTTTATCTCTCTATACTGATGTTGTGTGACAAATTAAACGGATTCATATTTATCCCAGATTCTACGTTTATTTTAATTGGTTGACTACTCCGTTTTCCACTCCATTCTAGTTATAGTCTTCACAGTCTTGCTGAGCGTTTAAGGTCTGATATCAGTCTATAGAATGGTAGTGATATATCGTCGATATTAGTAGTGTTTTTCCTGCAATCAATAAGGTAATTTTTAAGGTTAGTATCTTTTTCTACTGTCTATATATTTTTTCTATTGTAACTACAACAGTTGTTTTTTCCATAAATTCATAATCCAGAGCTACATTTCCAACTCACAGAAATACTCGATGACCACCACGTATAACGAAATATTTGTATGAAAAAAGTCATTTTATCATAGAAAAATTTTTCATTTGACTAGTTAATTTGTGTTTGTACTTTTTTTAGTCATTTAACTATAAGGTACTTCATAGCTTTTATTTTGTTTTTGAAACCCTAATTTTCTATAACCTTTTCCTTTGCTCACTTCAGGCTACTGATAATCCACGACAATCTTCCACTTGTTTGGAATCAGTTTCTGTTCATGATAAAACTGAAGTGCATGTTGGAAGTCTTGGTTTAGGAACAGCCTTAGCCGTTGCTTATGATCTATGCAGTGATAATGGGATTGTGAATCAGTTCAATACCAACGCTAATTTATGTGCCTCAAATCCTCAACTTGCAAATTTCCTTTCATTATCTGCAATCAAATCACCAAATTCACAATTTTCGACTCATTGTCGTAGTACATCTCTATCTGACCAACATACATATAATATTTATTCTAATTATTTTACAAATAATTCATTATGGACATTACAACATACTGATAGTTACCTAACTCCTATCTCATCTGCATCTACAATATTTGATGGTTCTAATTCAATAAAATCACTCGCAAATGATAATGATCATTCCAAATCTATTTCTTCCACTTGTGATTTCTCAAATAAAAGTAACTATTTTCCTCATGTCTCTCTTGATAGTAGTGTATGCCAACCAAATGATGTAGTTTGTTCAATTGGAAGCATGATTGATGGTCATTACAATAATAATCACAACAATATTGATACCAGTCCACATGTTTCTAATTTACCTACTGCATCGAGTGGACAGAAGATTAATACAAATAATTCAGATAATGAGTGTATAGGTATTAATCAAGGAATTACATCAAATAATTACGACAATAATAATATTGTTTTGAAGGAAACGACAGATACAAATCATGTTACTTCATCATCTACTACTTCTATTGATGATAGTTTATATCAGTTATCTGAGGAAGAAATGAAAGAAATAGATACATCAGTGAGTTGTTTTTCGTTTTATTTATATAGCGTATGAAAGCTTTTTAAAAAAATTTCTGTTTTACGTCTGTACTCAACATGTTTTTGTCTAAAAAGAAACGCGTAATTATACCCTTTCAGTTTTTGATGTTGAAGCTAAAATAAACTGCGAGGAAGTAAAGTGAATTCTATAATCGTGGTGAAAACTAGACTGGCCATTATACTTATTTACCAATACATTTATCTATTGGTATCATGTTAAGTTTGATTAACCTTCTCAAAAAATCACAACCTTCACTAAAAACTCGTCCAAATACTGTACACTTAATCTGGAACAGCTGTGAATAAAGTGAAGATAGATCATTTTTGAGATTCGTAAATATGATTCGAATTATGCGTTTACCTCTTGGCTGATTAAAGGTATTCGAGAAAAACAAAATAATGGTGCAACTCTTTTTATGAAAAAGCGTTTTCACTGTGTTTTTATGTTATGGCTTTTTATAATTTATATTAAAAACTCTCCTAAGGAACGATGTAATGCGCTGATCAATTAGTAATGTCCAGTGATATAAAGTAGCCAAGTGATAGTTGCACGCAAAACGGGATGGACTCAAGCTTCCGAACAAACTGTGCCCAAAGATATGACCACTGAGCAGAAGGATAGGTTTTTCTGACAAAATAGCATGCTTATATTATAAAATGTGAAACACCAGAATAAACGTATTAAGAAGCCATTCGAGAAATAAACGATTGGAGCATATAGCAAATATACCTCAATTATTCCAATGAAATCGATAGTCGATTTTGGGCCGTAGTTCTTGCCCCATCATAACATTTACTCGACAAAATGATGTGTGGTTTTTGTTTGGCAGCACTCATAAAAGGATGTCACTTTTGACTCGATCCATATATTAGTTACGAATACGTTTTGTCTATCAAGATAACGAATAGAATAGGGGTTAATAGGTTGTACAAAATAATACAATATGACCAACTGATGAAACCAACTTACTCATCGACATGTAGACACACTGTTCAATGGTTCCGTCTGGACTATTATATGCCTGCGAAACGTGGTCTATGAAGATACAACAGATGTGCAGGCCTCACGTTTTGGAACACAGATGTCTTCATCGCACTGCATTGGATCTTAGATCAATCGCGTGACCGATACCGAGGTTAAGAATTGAGCACTGAAAAAAATCCCAAATAGGTCGGTAAGGTTATGTATCTTCATCGAGTGGTCAAGGTATATGTTACACATGACTAACCACTATCAACCTCAACAGGGTTTTATGGCTGGTGTAGGAGTAAGTTAGGGAAAGTCAATACGTCACATTAATTCATAAAATCATTGACTTTTGAACTGAACCATGTCGGTAGCTGCAGGCGACCTGGTTGAGGTCAGCCTGATAACCACAATCGGTGATTGAAGACATTGGATAACATGGCTCGAAGTCGATCACAATGATCCAGTTACACGTGTTGTTAATCTTACTCTAATTCTTGAGTTCCAGCATTCCTTTTCTTTCTGCCCGTTTAAACCTTATTTTCAATGTTTAGTCTTTCTCATTGGCATTGCACTACTGTTGATCTTGTTCATTTTATCACGTTGTGCTGATGTGGTATGACAACTTGTACCGACCCACATCTGTGCCAAGTCTAAACTTTACTGACAACTTTCGACTAACATAAAGTATAAACTCAGAACTTCCAAGCCAGTCATATCATTCGAATGATAAGAACTTTGTAACTTTAATCATCTACATTGTTTTTCAAAACTAAGATTTTTTAAGTTAAACAGATGAATCAGGAAATTAGTTCACAATATCGTATTTAACTAATTATTATTGAATGTTACCATATAATAACATATTTTCCAGTGTAAAGATTGAAGTAAAGAACATTTGTGCTAGATTCTACATTGATCACGACTTGAATTAAAGCCTGTGCATTATACTACTGCATTTAGTATGGTCATAACACCTTGTTACACTTTAAAATAATGCAATAATCATTGATCATCCTACATTTTATTTGCAAACTATTTCACAGAATTAATTTTAAAATACTATTCAGAATCCTTTAGATTTCTTCCGTCTAAAAAATATTTCAAACGTATTCCACTAATTAATAACGAGAAATTAGATATAGATCATGAACCGATTGATGTTAGACCATCACAATTGAAAACCTGGAAGCACTGGACGGCCGTTTCGTCCTATTGTGGGACTCCTCAGCAGTGCGCATCCACGATCCCGCTCGCGGGATTCGAACCTAGGGCCTTCGGTCTCGCGCGCAAACTCTTAACCAACTGGGTCCGAATCCGCGAGCGGGATCGTGGATGCGCACTGCTGAGGAGTCCCACAATAGGACGAAACGGCCGTCCAGTGCTTCCAGGTTTTCAATTGTGATGGTCTAACATCAATCGGTTCATTATCTCAATCAAAAACTTAACAATCTCCACAACCCCTAAACTAGATTAGATATACACAGCAAGCGTGTCCCTGACATCTTATTTTGATTCGGGTACCACATTTCACCATTTATTTTTACAATTCAACTGGTAACTTAATTCATTACAGATTATAAATTATACCGAAGTCTTACCACATAGACTTATTAGCATTGAAGTAAGATATCTATTTACGTTTAAACAACTCAATACTTATCATATCCAACATCAAAATTTTATTCTTTAGGCTAGCGGTTTTTCAAATCAGACAACTAAAATAAGCAGTTTATTTGTAAATTTTCAATTATTACACACATCTATCTATTCAATCATCAATCATGTTCAACCATATCCATCTGGTATATATTATTGTTAGAATCGATAAAACAAGTCATTCACATGAAGTTGATCTGTTTCACTGATACTATTTAAACCCATTGTATATTCAGTTTACATATGTTCGATATAAATTACGTTACACCTAAACACCTTTTGACAAAATAGCAATCATTTTCTTCACTTCAAAATGTTTCAAAATTTTATAGAAACTGGATATTTTCTATTTAATCTAAATAAATGACCCTTTAGTTAATATATATATATATATATATAGACAAGTTGATATTGTGAGCAACCGTGACCATCACTTCAGGTTAAAAGCTACGGTCAAGGTTTTTGTATATTTCTTTGAATGAAATCGAATTCTCTTGCTAGTATTTACGAATCATTTAAGTGACAGTATTCATTGTTAAGAAATATTAGACACGTCCCAGAATAGAAGCTAGTGGCAATTCTATTGTAGTTTTCTCCTAGATTGTTCATAATGAGATAAGCTTCCTCAACTAAAAAAATTATTTTCTGAGACTTGACTATGTTTCTTACCACATACTATTATTATTTATTTAATTATTGACTGTACTGCCTTCACCCCTTAAATTTCCTTACAATATCTCCACGTCGTCTATGCGAAGCACTTTTTATTGATCTATTGCACCTGGATATATGTGCTCTAAATAAACACCGTTGAATGTATCTAAACTTTAATGCATAAATGTGCATTATTTATGTATACCTGTTTACCTGTTTTACTTAAAGCAAATATCCTCATTCGACTTTAAATGACATTTTTATGGTGTTTAGTGATACAAATATCCAACTACCCAGAAAAAGTAAATTGAGTGGGATTCGGACTTGTGTCCACAAATAAGTTAACTTATTAACCTCCACTCGAAATACACATACAACAACACGAGGACATAGAGTTTACTATGGAACAAGAAGCTGAAGACAAATTCCATTTCCTTGATGTTGGGATCCGACGAACATCTGATGGTAAATTACATAGACATATTAACCATAAAAATACCTGAAGTGGTCTATATCTCAATTACCACAGTTTCTGCCTAATGAGTTACAAAAAGTGTATTGTACGAACCCTTTTTGACCGCGCTCAAAAAATCTGTTCAAAAGAATACCTTGATGATGAAATTAATCTGATTAATAATGTTCTACGTGATAATGAATACCCATTGAAATTTATCCAGAAATATGCAAAATGCAATCCTCGTACAAAATACGATGGAGTATAAAGGAAAACCTGCTTCTTACACTTACGTTTCAAAGGTGATGAAATTGCTGGAATAATTAATCACAGAATAAACTCTGCGTTGAAAGTCACCTACCCAGCAGCAAAACTTATGACAGTATGGCAAACGAACTGCTCACTTCAACAAACCAAAATCGACAAGCCCTCTTTTCTTAATAGCTCCAACTGCATCTATCAATTCACATGTACGTGCCAAAGCACATACATTGGAAGAACTGAGAGAACAGTGCATGTCCGCATTTCTGAGCTTGTTCGAAAAAACTTGAGGCTCCGAGGGAATAAGGCCTTCAACAGCGCAATAGCTCGACATCTACTTGACATCGGGCACACCATCGACATTCCGCATGCTTTCAAAATTATCAATAGACAAAGAAGTACGATCACCCTCCGTTTTGCTGAAGCCATCATGATAAAAAAACTTAAACCTGACTTATGCATCCAAAAAGAGACTTTAATTAACTTATCACTACCCTGGTAACCCTTTTTTACATTTTTTTATATTTTTTTATTTATTTTAAAATATTTATACTCCTTCCCTATTACATAATTCATAAACCACATTATTATTCACACATTTCCACCACCTGATCCTCTTCAATTATCTTAACTTTTCAAATTCTATTTAATTATTATTACGTAACCTATCTTATGATTATTCAATTCCATTATTACACCACCCAACCTGAATTAATTCCTTTTGACCTCTGACCTGTTCTAGCATATATATATATTTATTTATAGTTATTATTGTAACCCGGTTATTTACACTCATCTATGTCAATTGTTTTCACTCTATCTCAATGTAAACATTCTATCACATTTTTGGTTTGTAACCAGCTGACGTGAAACCTCGAAATAATATGAATTCATACTATTCTGCATCAATATTTGTCCTTGCTTTATTTAAATTTATATTTCTTTTTGCTGTTATTGCTTCTATTGATAGAAAACTAGTTATTCCTGTTGAAAACTCAATAAACTTTGACAAATTTACGTATTAGCGTGTGAATAACATGTCGTTTAATGACTACGAAACTTTCACTATATGGACCAAATTTCAAATATCCGACCGAATCAATAGAAATCGACAGTACAAATCATTGATGAATAATCAATTGAATGGAACTCGTCACTGTACATCAACTTCCTTGATTATGAGGGGGCGCTTCACAGCGTGGATAGAAGAACCTCATGAAACTTTTTTTGACACTATAGTGTGAGTAGCTGGGAAAATCGTCAACATCACCCCCAAATGCCCTGGTATAGCCGAGGGTAGAGAGCGTCAACTCTCCCTCTCCAAATGCTCTCACATGACCACGTGTATACAACCACTCCCAGGGAACTCCTACTCACTGCCTTCTCGTTACATTACTGTTGTTTACGATGTACTTTGCGTACAGTAAATTCATAGAAATTAGGCACATAAGTTTGAATCGACTTAAACTACACCTTACACTCACCAACATTTACATAGCTTGACTCTACTGAGCGAATAGTTTTGCGGGTACAGCGATGACTGAAGGCTGTGTGATTTAATCTTTGTAGTAGAAATAGAATTAACAACGTGCTATGTTATGAACTAGGTAAATCTAAAGGAAACCGTTCGTTTTGTTGATTTTTGTCACCCATATTAATTTTAGACATGAGTACGATTTTAGACGCAACACTTTTCTCTCATATGATCTTGTATAAACCGTTATATATGAAGGCTCTGAATGAAGATATCAACAAACTGTCCAACTTATCCACAATAATGTCAAGCTCTATGCTAATTATGTCCGAATTACCATTTAAGTTAGTTTGGAAATCGTTTATTAGAGTTTTATTAATATTCAACAACTATCCATAAAGAAAAAAAACAATGACCGAAATTCATCACTCTATGTTCATAACGCGGGAAAACTGATAGCATTTTGCTGTAGTTAGAGTCTGCCTACGGGGTGGATCATTAATCAGTAACTTTATGAATGGATAGCCGATGATTCCAAACCAATGGTGTGTATGGGCTCCAGGATTCTGAGGGAACAAATGGTATATGAACCAGTTTTTGGTCACTGGCTACCATGTCACTGCATCTCCTGACGTTGCTCCACTGCCTTGTGGATCAGACCTTTATTTCGAAGGCTCCAGGAGTGGCCCCCTAAATAAACCACTTGTTTTGGTCTGGGCTCCCGGGCAGTATCACAGCCCACGCACAAATCAAGTGATTTATGTGGCGAGTGTGTATTTGGTGCCTCTTTGTACCAATATCTTTGTGTTCAAATAAATATATACTAAGATTATTGTCAATATTTCACTTTACTGTATTTAATGATTTAAAAAGTAATGATAATAATATTAATAATAATCCAACTTGCATAATAAATGTACAAGGTTATGTAGTTAATATTAAGTTGCATACTATTTATACGTAAGCTAACTTCCTTATTGCTATTCAAGTACTTAAAAGTGATGAGTAGAGAAATGAATGGTGTTTTTCAGACTTGTAACTCAATAGTTGAATATTGTGACTGAATTAAAATCAGAGTGGTTTAAGTTACAAATTACACTATTCTACTAATTGATTTATGCAAGTTAGCTGCAAAGCCATTTTCAATTTCACTTCACCTATCTTCAGGAATTATGATTTCGAGAAAAAAGTAGTTGAAACATTGTTTTTAGATTATTAACTCCCACTGACGTAACATTTGTTGTGTAGTTTGCTTTGTTTATCGACCTAATCCAGTCAGTTTATATTATGAAAAAGATTGCATATTCCATTAGGTTTTCCTATGGGAGGAATTTGCTTGAAGATTCGTTGATGTGCTATAAAAACGTCAGGATGGTGTTAGAAAATTAAGGGTTAATAGCTTAAGGGGTATCTGTAGCAAACCAGACTTTACGAACTATGTGCTGCAAAAATTGCCTCTAAAAACCTATCAGTTATAAGTAAATGACTTAAACGACATTTGTCTAGGTTTCTAATAATTTACTTTATATTTGGTAATGAGCTAAATACTGAATGAACTTAACAGCACACTTCATGTCAAATGATGAATTTCTCTCTTTCATGAACCTATCGTACTGAAAGGCATTAATCATTGAAGTTTGTCATAAACAATATGCTGAACTGTACAAAAATCTTAAATAAAATGACTCGTCTGTATTTGCTTAATTATAATTGATGTATGATAAACATCTTTAGTAATTAGGTTACCTCCTGCAATTACACTTAACTTTTTTTATTTAACCATAAATTACATTAATTTTCAACCAAAGTAATCAGATGATTCTGTGTAGTCATGAATTTTCATGTTTCATTGTACAAATTGTTGAGATGCATCATATGATATGAAGACGGAAACTAGGTTTATTTTTGTTATTATTTGAATTGAGTTTGTGGATCTCCATCAGAGATTTATAATAATGGTGAAGAACAATAGTACTAAGATATTTACAACTGGAAAAATTAGTCTTGCTTCAACGCTCATTCGGATAAATTTTATTCACAATCATTCAGTCAGTAACAACGGAGAACTTCGTACGTACGTACATCAGTTCGGGTTGCCACACTATATTAGCATGGACATGCAGTTGTCTATTCAAATCCCGTAGTGGTAGAAGTAGTAAGATTATAAGCTGTAATCAGAAAAGTTAGGGTTTGAAGGTGCTATTCAAGGAGTATAACCCAGTGAAATAAATTTGGAAAGAGAAAAAAGAAAGGGACATGAAGAATTCAGAAGTTTAGAATTTGGGAGAACACAAAGAGTGGATGCACCTGCGCCATTGCAAACGATTTTGAGCCACGTCATTCTAGGTCTCTAACCATCATCTCGCGGTCCCCAACCACATAGTCTACACCTACCAACATGGCTCAGTTCACTTGTCAGTGACTTCGTGGACTTGTGCCATGGTTTAGTCTGGCCGCCCCTAGCTTTCTTCCAACCTACTCCTATACCATTGAGCATCACACGTAGAGGCAGTCGGTAGTTGGGCATACGTAACACATGTCCCAGCTATCTCAACTGATGAAGTTTCACTACTTCATTAATTGTTTGCCATCCTTACCTAGTACCCGTTTCCTAACAACTGCGTTACTTACTCGATGGTTCCAGGATATACGAGCAATATTTCGAAGACACCTATGATCGAATACTAGTAACCTACGAATATCCTCTACTCTTATCAGCCATGTTTCACTGCCATAAAGTAGGACGAAACGAACTGCTGCGCAGTAAACCCGTCCTTTGGTTGATAGATGGATATCTCGCGTACGCCATAAATGACGCAACTTGGTAAAAGCTAGTCGAGCCTTCTGTATCCGTGCTGAGATTTCGTCACACACCAGACCACAATCATATAACATTCTTTTATGCTACATCGCTTATGTAGTCCGCTTTATTCTCATTTTCCTTATTTTACTTTTAAACCTATACAGTAGCTCGTATATGGTAGAAACCCTATCCCATCTAAACGATCTCAAGTCACTGACTAGTTAAAAGTTGAATGAAACAGTCTTTCCGAAGCCATATATACCATTCAAACTGGCCTCTTTCAACGTTCGCACAATAATGCAGATCGGACAACAGATGGGGTTGGCTATGCCTTTATAAAGTCTTGATATCGATGTCTGTTGTGTATTCGAGACCCGTGTTCAAGACTAGTGAAGTACAACAAATTTACTCTCAGTCTGTCATCTCGGAAACCATGTTTCACATGCCTTTGTCCGGAGACCCTGTGGTATCTTCATCTCGTTTTTCTTGCGTTAATGTCGCACTAAACGCTAGAGCCGATGCAGCACTGATAGTTTGGTTACTCATTAGTAGTCGGTTATATGCTGTTAGATTAGAAAGTTCCATCAAATCGAAAAGAAATCGGTGTGAGAAACGATGTCTTTTGTCATCTTTACCTATGCTCTTATAGATTGCAGCCCGGATGCGATCAATGATGTTTCTGGCTGGCACCAACTACTGACATGGTCATCGCTGATGTGCTACCTGGCATCCTCCCTCTTCATCTCAAGCCCTTTTTCAGATTAAACACATTGCGATCAGCTACCGCTCGCATGGTTGTGTACAAGACTGCTGCTCCTTTTGGAGTACCTATCTGGATTCAGACCATGCCCTTGTTTGCGCCAATCTTACCTCACGTTTCAGTGACCAACAAATTCATCGCCCGTCGATCTACTCCGGGTGACCCCGAGTTTGACCATAAACGAAGACTGTTACATGATGAAATTGTGAAACGTCTGCGTAAAGACCGAGAAGTTTGGTGGCTGAAGCATGCCAATGAGTTGGAAGCAGCAGCTGCATCCGGAAACTTCCGGGAGCTCTTTCAACTAATCCAATCCACTGATAGCGAGAAATTTGGTACGAGGGAAACAATCTGTGAAGACGATGGGATGCCAATCAACAATATCACTAGGGACTCCAACTTCTGAAGCACCACAAATCACCAGGCGTAGATTATATACCTCCATCCCTTTTTATAAAGATAGTGGTGACTTTCTGGTTATGGAACCGATTATGTTGTTTACAGAGGTCTGACAATTACACAGTGTTCCGACATCGTGGAATGAGTCGGTAGTTATCATTATCTTTAAAAATTGTCCACGTCGTTTCTGTAACAACTATCAGGGCGATTAGTCTCCTTTCGATTGGGTCCAAACTATGGGCCTCCGTCATACTTCGTAGATTGTTCAAAACCCGAGGGAGATTGACTGGCGAGGAGCTGGCTGGGTTTCGTTCTGGTCGAGGATGTATTGATCATATCTTCACCCTCCGCCAAATGTTAGAACACCGTCATACTTATCACCAGCCAACAATCGTATCCCTGGTTTTTATTATAATATAAACAATTGGTAGCAATTGTCTACTTCTAGTTTTGTTCTTTGATTGAATTAAACAACTCTTGAAATACGTATATTCAGCGTTTTTGAACAGTATAGTCTTCTTCTTCTTCTTCTTGGTAATCTAGCTTACAACAAATGCCGATCTCATGGCTAGTCGTCAATGGAAGTATTATATTGAGACAAATGAATGGACACGTGCTACCTGTGCATTGATGGCATGTTTATTTACTAGAGATCAAATGGCTAATTCAACTGTTTTAGGTCGTGGTGGTTCACAACGTGCCCGTCTTCCAAGCAATCTAGTTGCCTATGTTGTCAGTAAGTTTTTCTCTTGTTATATTTTGTTGTTTATTTTGTAATTGGTTGACTTTTTAATGGCCCTGTAACTGAACTCAGTTAGATCGTACGATAATTGTTATCGAAATATACATTCCAACTACCATCGTACATAATTATTGGTTTGATTCACGTCAGGAAATAACAGAATAAAAGAAGTGAGATACGAGGATGAACTTTAAATTTGTATAATTCGCACACTCATTGATCCGGACAGACAATCGGAAAAACCAAGTAAACAAAGCGAAGTGAAAGATGTCATTGGAAAATGGAAAAAAAGATGATGCACAGCCGAGAAGGCGAGTGAGCCAACTCGATTTGACCAAGAGTAACTCAATATTTGTAAATAGACCGAAGATAAGTTACAGACACGTGATGAATGGGGTAGGCAATTGACAGACTAAAGATCATATAATAACAGTCAGGTTTAATAAGTGACAAGGTCAAAATGTGGCTTGAGAAGAATGAATAAATTGGTCTTTTCAGATGCTAGAATAACCTATGTTGGCTAGATATAGTACCAGCCTCTACAACTTAATTATTATTCATATCACCAACCGATCAGTGTTGGGCCACGGTTAAAAACCTGAAAGCGCTGGATTGTCGTTTCGTCCTAGCATGGGACTTCGGAACACTGCGCATCCACGATCTTACACGCCGGATTCGAACCCAGGACCTTCGGTCTCGCGTGCGAACCCTTAACCTGTAGACCACTGTTATATATATATCTATATATCTATATATATAAACTTGGAAGTCCTACGTTTTTACTTGATACTAGTTGGAAGTTGTCAGCCATGTCTTATATTCGAGAGACTGATTTAAGAACATCTCTGTCGTAATCATCTTAGTCTGACACAAATGTTTTGAATCAAGTTGCAATACAACGTTAGTGTGACGGAATAAAGTGATTGAGATGAGTAGTGAATGCATCTATACCATCGTGGAAGGTTCTAAGCCATGTCATCCAGTATCGCCAACCATTGACTGTGATTATCAAGTTAATCACATAGGTCAGTTGACTAGTCAATTACCTCATGAGTTGATATCACGTATTGTTTTGGTCGGGCAATGGAGGTGGTTACTTCGCCAAAAATCTAATTCTGTTTCATGGGCCACCTAGGCGGTATGCCTAAAGGACCACCTTCGCTATCCCGTCATTTTAGCCCCCAAATGCTCTGGTACGGCCGAGAGTGGGGAGAGTCCGCTCTCCCTCTCGAAATGCTCTCACATGGCCACGCGTATACAGCCTCTGACAAGGGAAGTCCTACTCACTGCCTTATCGTGGCGGGGGTGTTGTTTACGAAATTGAGAGGAAGAAAAGCGAATGTCCGGCGCTTTAACCGGATTCCAAACCAGTGGTGCACACGGGCTCCAGTATTCTGCGGGAACAAACGGCGTATGAACCTATCATTGGTCACCGGCTACCATGGGACTGCTTCTCCTTACGATGCTCCACTGCCTTGTGGATCAGACCTTCAGGTCGAAGGCTCGGGGTGTGGCCCCCTGAGAAAACCACCTGCTTCTGTTTGGGCACCCGGGCAGTATCACAGCCCTCACACATATCGAATGAGATTTGTGTAAAGCATATGTATTAGTGCCTCCTTGTACCAATATCTATGTGTTAAAATAAAATAAATAAATAAATAAATAAATAAATTGTTTTAGTTACACTTAAGTTCCTTCCAATTTTCTTCTACATCAGTTATAAAATACCTGTCGAAGTAGTTAATGATTAAGCATACTTAACATGTATTTCCTAACCACCATAGTCTATTCTCTTAGTTTTAAGACATCTCTAAACTACTAATGTTATGGTCATATAATTTACAGATGATCTGTTAACACATTTGATGTTCTTAAAATACTTATACACTCATTACATACAATTCAATTATGATTCCTGAATATTTCTCAGTATATTAGACTATGTAATTTTATCTATTCATACAAAGAATTCAGTAGTTATCTGAAAGTAATTAAATTATTCATTTAAATTAACTTATTAATAAAATCTAATTTAAATAGTTCATTCTTATTGATCACTTTTAAACATTAATTACTTTTTAATAATGATATAAATAATTGTGCATAGTAACAAATAAAGATACGTTTTGATGTAATTGACTAATTCATGTGTCCATTTGTGTAATTATAATTATACCATCATCATTCAATGTTATTTACGTTCTTCAAAATTAACATAATTAATTACTCGATTAGGTATGTTACCCCTTGTGAACGAGTATAGGCCTCTCATCAATACTTTCGTCCATCCAACCCTGTCCTGAACAATCCTTTCTAGTTCTTTCTAATTGTTATTCATTATTTTTTTTGTCTACTTCCAATTCTCGACGTAATGTGTTCTTCGGCTTTCCTTCTTTTCCGTTTCCCTTGAGAATTATAAATTAGGGCTTGCCTCATGATGCAGTCTGGTGATTTCCATAATGTACAGTGGCATTATTTTACCACTGAAATTCTAGCTGATTTCATGATATTATTTACACAAGAGTTTTATTAAGTTTAAAGCTGTTGGTCTCTATTCACCAAGGTAGGTACATAGTCCTGACTAAATAAAATGCATATTCTGTAGTTCATTTAATAAAATAAAACAATAGATTAGTAACTAAATCATACTTTCAACTCATTAGGTTTTAAGTTTGAATCCTACTCCATTTACTTTAATTTAGGCAACTGCGTAATGTAACTACCCCCTGTTACACAAAAACTTTATGGTTGAAAATTAACAGTGTAATTATTATCATCCTGTTATATGTATTTAAATAAATAAAGTATTCAACGTTTACACATTATCATATTACCCTCATTTAAGACTAAGCTATATCTACCGTAATATAATTTTGGCAATCAGTTAATCTTTACAATAACATGCATAAACCTGTATATATTTATTATTATGATGGTGATCATTATTATTTTGTTATTTTTCCAAGTACAAATAAGTATATATATATGTATTGTCGTCAATATTCTCTTCTATTATTCAATATGTTTTATACTTCTTTCTATATTAGGGATAATATGCATTACTTCTAATGAGATTAACATAATGAAACTTAAATTGGATTCATTCTTGTTTTCATTGTTATTTTGTTTTAGTCAACTTTCTTGTATACATTTTAATAACAACAAAAAAATTTGTATCATTTATGAAATATTCAATCGATTAAAATATTTGTCTCAAAACTACTAATTTGTAAATATCAGTAGTAGTGAACATGTCTGTTGTAAATTAATAATAATAACTTCGTGAATAACTCATTTATATTCAAAGGGTAACCATTTTATTTAAACACATAAACATTGGTACATGGAGGCAGCAAAGAGATATGCGCCATATAAATCATTCGATTTGTGTGAGGGCCGGGATACTGCCCGGGTGCCCAAACCGAAACAGGTGGTTTTATTAGAGGGCCACTCCCGGAGCCTTTGACATGAAAGTCTGATGCACAAGGCAGTGGAGCAACGTTTGGAGATGCAGTCCTATAATGCCCAGTAACCAATAATTGGTTCATACTCCATTTGTTCCCTCGGGATACTGTAACCAATGTGCACCAGTGGTTTGGAATCAGGTTTTTCAAATTCCCCTAGGTGGATGCTCAATATCCATACCCTCAATTCGAAAAGCGGCAAACTTTCATTTTGTATTTGATTAAGAGGTTTTGGGAGATTAGTTTGAATATTTGCCTTCTTTACTGACTGATATCAAAAACCAGGTGATCATTGGAACCTGGGGACCAATAGATAATTTACTAGTCTTTTAGAGTGATGCTTCTCAACAGTAACTACCGATGATCCATCCATCGGCTCAACTAAGGATTTCAGTTTCAGGAGGAGTCGTCTAGTCTTCAACTTACTAATTTGGAATTCGAAGATCCTCATTTTCACCTAGCCATTTAGTGAAAATATTCACTGCCATTAATTGACAAACACCTCACTCTCGACACATTTTTGTGTATTTATATCACTGGTTGTGCTCAGTGTATCTGTTTATTTATCAGGGATAAGATACTATATATATATACTTTTGCTTGCTACATTTAATGAGTTTTTATATACTATTATTATTATTATTATTATTATAAACATTAAGTGTGGTCTAACTTACGTAAATTTGTATATTCATTATTCCAATAATCTGTTATTGTTGATCTGCAACATTTTTTGCTTGTGTGGAAATTTGGATTGTTGTTGTTGTTGTTGCTGTTGTTGAAAAACCAGATCTTCTATGGTTGTTGTATGTATGATCAAGTACCACTTATATCATATTTTTTTCCAAGTTCTCTGTTTCTGCCTAATTGAATTTTTCTCAATACATTTTTGTCTCTCCTTCTGATTGATTGTTTTTTTATTCTTTTTTTTCGTTTTTTCTATTTTCGTAAAATAATAATAGAAGTTTCAATCCATGTACTACTAATAATAATGATAATAATAGACTATAATACTTGTAACTTCTAAATTAACACAGTTTGTTCTCACTAAGGACTAGAACAACCATTGAATGATCTCACTGTTCTATTCACTGAATTTGAGCTCAAAATAATTAACTGACTGTATGAATTCTTCTTGGAAATATACGTAGGTGGTCAAAAGTAATCAGTAGAACCTAAGTTCCATGTTGATTGACATACTATCAGCATAAGAGTTCTTGCAATTTTCTAGGAACTGATGTTATCTTCAGGATTTCAACTCAGCTCATCCAGCTAGCTTCACAGCCTAAGACGTTAACACTGAGCTACTTGTATAGAGATTAGTCTCCGATACAATTGAAACATTTATTATTGATCGATCACTGAGCATTAACCAGTGGAACGTTTGTCTAGTTCTTTAGTGCTGATCTGATTATATCGATAAAATTGCTATGTGACCACTTATCCAATTAAGTTGACATCACGCGCACTTTGTTGAGATTTTAGGTGGTTTGAGTTAGATGGTAGTGGCCACATTGTAACTCGATCAAT